ACGGATCCACAGACGTGTCATGTAAGTTATGAGTCAAGGACCTTCAGCCGAGAGTAAGCCATTGTGTGTGGCAAACTCAACAGCAGATGATCTCAGCATCACATGTCATCAGATGTGAGCCGAGAATCATTAGCGCCGAAACCCAAAACCAGCGAGGTTGTGCGCATGTGTGTAACTGTCCCCTTTAGGGACTTTGATGGCATTTCAACAAAATTGCTCACACCTAACAAACAAGCCACTCATGTGGACTGGTAACCATTAGCTCTTGAGCAGCCTAAGCAAAAGGGTATTCACCAAGGTATAACATGCGTTGATTGGACCATAAACAGCGTTGTGGGAAAAGTTAAAAGACAGTATCTGTTGCTAGATTTGGCCAAGCAAAATCAAATTGGGCGGACGGCTGGTCTCGGCTCGAGTTGGCTCCCACGGATCACGGATAGTCAAAGTAAGCCTGCCGCCGCCAGTAAACCGGGCAACCTTCGCTTGCGATGAGCGTTTCTGATACCAAAAGTACTGTAACTAAGTACCGATAATAGTAAAATAGGCCAGCAACATTGGATCGAAGTAGTAGATTCAAGAGAATAAAGAAAAAGAGCAAGATATAGAGCATAAATAAATAAAAGAGATATGCAAAAGAGTGACCAGATATCATAAGCCAAAAAAAAAGACTGTGTTAGGCTTGGAAAAATTGACCAAAAGACTGCTTTCTGGCTTCTCAAATGACTAGTTTTTAACAGGCAGTACTACTGTGGCAACATCCGTACCAGAATCTGAAACATCATCTCTGTTGGGATCTGGCCTCACAGAGGCGATTTGACTAGTGGTGGAACCAGGTAGAACGTCACTGTGAGTTTCAGTGGACATTTGGGGCCTGCTGGCAAATTGGATGGACTGAGAGAATGATGGACCGGTGACAGTTGATTCCAAGTTGGCCTTTTCTAAAGCCAGTAAGAGAATTACGAAGATAGGATAGATTGCCTGTGATAGCTATTTTAGAAAGAAGTCTTTGATGAGATAAGAGGTACCTGCCACAAGCTCCGATATAATGACTCCCATGAGTGCAAATGAAAATGACTCATGATATGAGGTTTTGGAACTCAGGACTAGTATACTTAGCTGTAGGAACCACATAAGTATGGTATTAAACTTTCCAGTTAGATATCCATCTCACCCAAAGAAAGCAGTAAATGCTTCCAGATTCCGTCAGAAGGATGAGCACTCTTTCAACCTTGGTTCTTCCGTTTTTTGAGAGACCAAGATTCTTCTTGATTTCCACTTTATATTCCCTTGCCATGTTCAATCAGCATTATAAATTATAATTGAGATTGGAAGGTCACATACCAGACTTTATATGCAATCAAAAGAGTGGAAATGAGGTTTGTCCAGAACAGTGGTAACAGTAGAATTAGTGAGCGTGTGAGAAGAGAAGAAAATCTTGGACTATCTGAGAACTGTGACGAGTCAAACAGTATAACAAATGCAAGGTCAACAGTTACTCCAACTATCAATTTATTGAGCAGAATTTATAAAAGTCATGGCAACCTTACCGAAAGTACCAAATAAACAGATGCACAATAGCATATGGACCTTTGAATGATTGGTCCAGAGTATCCAGGCCCTCCACACCACAATGGAGTCACCAATCAGATACTAAGATGAATTGAGATTCAGCAAAAAGAAAGGAATCAGGTTGGGCTCACATTCAATCTTGTCATGCTGTCAATAAAAATACTCATATAGATCAGTGGCCTCTCAACATTGGGAGGGTCAAATCCTGCAGCCGGTAGCTGGATGAGAATGAAGGCCAGATCCATAGATATCTGTGCTGTACTAGCCACAAACATGCTGATTGCTGCGGCAATGAGGATGCGGTATGCAGCCAATTTTGCTTTGTTGGTCCTTTGAGAGTGTCAGCAGGTGTATATTACACTAATATGACATACCAGAGCTTATAAAGCACAATCATCACAAGTGCACTATATATGCCTGACCAAATAAATGTTTTCAATACAGATAGTTGGTGTCTCACCATATAATAGAAACTCAATAGCAATCTTGATGAAGAACTCTTTCAGACTAGTTATATCTGAGTCAGCAAGTGGACTAGGCTGCATGGCCTCGGGCATGATAGTGACAAGCTTTGTGAGAAGTTGTCAGGAGATTTATGAGCGAATAATCTCGAGAAATAAGCACGAACATCTTTTATAGACTGTAAAAACTGGATCAGATTCTCACACTTTCAAATGTCAGAGAAAATCAGACCACAATGTAGATGCATTGTCAGATCCTTCAATGGTATTTGGAATTTTTGGATGTCTGGACAGATTTATGCTGCGGTTGTGAGGAAGATGTGTTTGTTGCAGGACTAAATGTTGATATCTGCCAGGAGTTGTGAGTTTGGCACAGTTCAACAGATATGTTCTTAAGATTATAACACCTAGACTCCAGTGAATCATGATATATTTATGATTATATCAAGTAACTTTTATTTGTCACAGATTGCTGTACTTGTATCAATTTTGAACCCAAGCCAAGTCTTGCAATGACTTTGAATCAAGTCTTAAGTTGTTGGTACAACTCTCCTCTTAACAACTGCGGTCTCCACCAATCAAGATGGCTGTGTTTGACATGCTACATGTAATACTAAGATTGATGGACGGGTGGTGCCAAATCATCGTCATAAATTATGATCAGCCATGTCACTGTCTGTGTCAGTTCATCAATTATCAATTTGCAAGTCGGTTTTTTCTAATCTTTTTCTCCTCGTTTCTCTTCCCAATTTTCCCCACAACTCAAATGGAAACTCTCTCTCCTTCAGTTGTATGGACTGAATGTGTGAGTTCCAAGTGCCAAACTAAGCTGTCTCTGACTGACTGAAGCTTCTGAGCTACACCGTGACATGTCCTGATTTTGATAGAAAGCTAGAGTCGTCTATGGAATTCTCTGACATCTTTCCCATGATTCTGAAGTTGCTTCTGTGTTTCTGGGGCTAGTGGTAATATTTTGGTTCCCCAGAAGTCTGCTGGCTGAGGTGGGTACTTATACTTGGAGATAATAACAGGTACATGTTTTCCTCCGAGTTGGGACCCTTTCAAACTGATGAGACTTGCACTGTTTGTTGAATACTTCTGATTTATAGTGTGTTGAGATTGTTGATGCCCATGTTGGTTGACATTCAAATTCTCTCTTGTTGCCCTGCCAAATTCTGATGAGTGATTGTCTGATCCATTTGACCTTCAGCTCTGCTCTGAAACTGTAGTGATGATGAATTTTGTTGATGTAGTGCTCTGCAAACAGATGACTCTGGCTTGCTCTGGGGGTGGCTATGACTTTGATAGGTCTGGCATAATTGATGCTGGTAAGGCTTCAATCCAGTATTGTCAACTTTGCATTTCCTAGACTGATCAAATGTCACCATAATGATCGGCGTGTCCAAGTCTGATCTCATTGATAGCAGCAAGATGTGAACTTGAGAATTTTCTGGTACTCTCTCCAACACTGTCAAAAACCTGCCATGTACTGCATTTCAAACTGAATTACCATTGTTCATTGATTCAGTCATGTGTTGAGCCTTCATTCCATGCAAGTGATCGCTTGGATTCTGTAGTATTGGGTTCTGATGATCTTTTGTGACCTTGTTTGCCTCTCACTCACGTCTCAAGGCTTTCCAGCATACCTTCTTTGATATCCTGTCTTTCAGATATCGTCCAACAGCTCAGATCACAAACTATAGCCAGATGAAATGAATCCTACAGATTTGACTGTGTGATTGCTGAATTGAGCTTCACATCTGTCCATGTCATATGAGTGACACTCTGTCACTGGATGCTGAACTGTTCCAGGTTCCTGTGATGGTGTCAACGGAGGTGATCCCTGCAGTTGAAACAACTGTCATAGCTTGTAAAGATGATATTTGATCCTCGGTCTGCTAGATAGTCTGCCTTTCAAACCGCTCTCACAGGAGCGGTGGAAACAAAAGCAGATGCTGCATAGAGCTAACTAGGGCTGCGCACACCGTCGCCATCTATGGACGGTTAGTACGACGGGACCCGTACCCTGTCCCATCGAGAATTTTTCGAATTTTTGATGGTACGGGTACACCCTTTTTAACCCGTCGAAGAACCGCCGTGACGGCCGTCTAGACGGTACTTGTCCAGGTATAGTTGATCTATTTCTTGCATTCTCAGTGATCCTACAAGTCAGAGACTGACCAAGAGAGGTTGAATTTGCAGATTTGTCACATCCAATCACCGAAGAAGTGCGTTGATGGCTGGCGATGACTAGATGGCTGAGGCTGTATCTCAACCTGCGGATCATCAGTTTCAAGTATGTAGCATTCAGCCATAATAATATAAGATCACTGCATATGAATCGAGAGCTATTTGAGTAATGGAGTTGTGGCTGAGGGCTCAGACTTGCTTCGATCTATATTCATATCCTTGTATCCTTGTAAGCGATGATGATGTAGCGGTAGCACGTCGGACCGTGCAACTATCGTCAAACATCATCGCCCTGGTTCAATTCCAAGTTGTCGCTTGAATGGAGGAATTGAAATGCTTTTTTATTCTGTCAGTTTGTTCGACGACATGACCATTCCAAATTTAGAACCTGAGAGATGCAGGAACATTATAGGTACTCAGGCACATTAAGTATGAGGAGAGGCACATAGGAAGAAGTGGGAAAAAGGAAGAATCACAGTCAATGCTGCAGTAGGTCATGCACCTGGCCAATGTCGACATCCGCTTTGGGACCTTTGGAGGACTTCAGAGATAGATGATACCTTGGGCTCCTCGAGACATAAGGACTCACATTTCTGCTTAGTTTCTTTGCTCGCTACCGACGAACATAGCGGTTAGCCTCGAATTTGGTTAGTAGTTTTCTCTGACTCTCGTCAGTAAGTCCGATCGTGCTAGGCCGAAGCCCTGGAATCTTCGATCTTCCAATCGGGATATATTCATATTCTCGTGCGTGTCTTGGGAACCGTGATGGTGAAGTGGCAAGTGATGATGGTGCAGTGACGCCCGTCCGATAGTATATCGAGTTCACGGATGGCCCGGGTTCGATTCCAGGTCGTCACCTGTGCAAGGAGTGTTTTTTATTCTGGTAGTTCGCTCGACGATCTGACCATCTTCAATTGTTCCATCTTCAATTGTTCATATCATATATCCAAGTACAGAACATGAGAGAAGAGGGTCAGGCACATCAAGCACTTATGAGGAGCAGACCGAAGCTATCATGCATCTTCGATCAGGATATATTAGGGTCGTTCACGGTAGCCGATTATTGGCCAATTATTGGTCTGATTAATTGTCAATTATTGATGTTTTGGCGGTAAAGTACCTGATTAATCAGAAAATAATTGGTCCAATAATTGCTACTGTGAAACCCCCCTGCTGCAATTTTGCCAATAATTGGTCAATAATCAGGGATTTGGAGATGTAAACAGTTGTGATTATTTGCTCGGCTAACCTGCCGCTTTCAAGCTCCGCGCCAAGTCGTCTGACTAATCCATAATCGGTATGACAGGCGCTGATAAAGCTTCCTTGCAATTCTGCATGTCTGCTGTAGCCAGACACCAATCTTTGCTTGATGCCCTTGGGGACCATGCCCGCAAGCACCGCCGTGCCGAGTTCCAGCATCAGGTAGATGTGAATGATGCTATTAGTTTGCTTTTGGTCAGCTACAGTGGTTGCTAGAGGAAGGAGACAATGATAGAATGACATTGAGGAAGGCAAGGCTGAAAGGCAGAGAGGGGCGGGAGCGGGAAGGTTGGTCCTCGTTGTGATGGCGCCCAGCGGAGTTTGAAAGGTCGGGATAAACAGCAACTGATTAATCAAGCAGAATAATTGATTATTTTTGCATAATCGGCGCTTGTGTCAATTATTCCAAAAATAATCAAACCAATAATTGAGCAATAATTGAGCAATAATCACTACTGTGAACGACCCTATTCATATTTTTGTTCCCCTATTGTAAGCGATGAGGGTGTAGCGGTAGCACGTCCACCTAAACATCTTTCTTCACAGATAGCCCTGGTTTGATTCCAGGTTGTCGCCTACCATCATTCCATTGCATTCATGTCTTTTTTCATTCTGTCAATGCACTCGAATATTGTTGACACGTCTAAAAATCATCTCTTACAACCATCCCTACATCTGCAAAGCCACACGAGAACGTAAGGAACATCATCAGGTTTCAAGAAGGTATATAGGAGGAAGCTCGAGCCACAGTACATAATTGTGAGGCATCTTTTATAAGCGACAATGATGTACTAATGGTAGCATGTTCGGCTATCGAGTTTACGGATGGCTCTGGTTCGATTGTTGGATACTGACGTTTTTATTCTGTCAATTCGCTCATCTTCCATAAGGAACATTATGAGGTTATATCGTAGAGGTACATAGAGAGCAGAGGTATGCAATATCGTACAAAAAAAGAGAAAAGAAAGCCCAATTAACAACAATCTGAGCCAATCATGGCAAATACTTGTTTGGCCTCTAATGACTAACCTCCGCGTCCACAACTCCACCGGCTCCTGACTCCAATACATGCCTCTCCCTCTCCTCCCGCACCCCGGGGGTTTGCGGAGCTGATGGGGTGGATTACAGAGCGATGGCGTAGATTACGGAGGAGGGGAGGATGAAGTGCGCGCGGTGATCGGGGCGCGCGGCGAGGCTGAAGCGTCCGAGCCGGAGTCGATGGACGACGAGCGAGTGGCCAACAATCGCGGTATCCGAGGCGTATGGTGCTGCATGCGTTGAAGGAAGAATCGCCGTCAATGCTGCAGTAAGCCATGCACCTTGCGCTGTTATCGTCGACCTTGGAAACTAGACTTGAGAGAGAAATGCATCAGAAGGCGTTCAGGTCATTTGGGTAGAAACTTGGTCCAAAGACCTATCAATCAGTCCGCGTCATGGATCTTTGATCTTTTGATCGGCGTAAGTACATGCTGCATCAATGGCCCTGATTCGATTTAGGTCGTCGCCTGCCCGATCCAAATGCTTTTTTATGGAGAAAGGCAAACCCAATTCAATTAACAACAATCCCTTGGAACGTCCCGGGCATGAGGCAAATTGTAAGAGATTCGAGCGGAGCACTTTTTGCAATTTTCTCTGACTCTTGTAAGTCCGATCGTGCTTTGATTGTTAGGCCGAAGCCTTGTCCTTTGATCTTTTGATTGGGATATATACATATCCTTGTCCCGTTTTACCAAGCGACGATGGTGCAGCGGTAGCACGTCCGACTGTCTAATTTACGGATGGCTCTGGTTCGATTCCAGGTTGTTGCCTAGGTCATTGTTGCTGTTTCTATTTTGTCAGTTCCCTCTACGACATGACCATATACAATCGTTCAGAGCATCAATAAGAATCCCCCAACGCGTCAATCCCTAATTAGAGCGCCAAGTTCCTCAACACGTCGAAGGGTGCCGAGTTGTATTTCTAGTGTATTTCTCGAGATAATTAATCTCTTTATCAATAGACACGCATATTTTTGTAATACTAAATGGTGTTGCCACTCTCATATCTCCGAATCCTAGGATATATAGTTGTTGACACCCGCTGCGGGTACTGGAAAATCACTGGAATAGTTGGTTTTTTCTGTGGTTGGGTGGCCTCCAAGGGAGTTCTAAAGTCATGTACTGTATCTCAATGTATCCTCGAGATGCTCAGAGGACAATCTCGATGCGCAGGATCTGTTGTTGATAATTGTTTGGTCCAGACTCATTCTGATTCAAAGACGGTTTTCTGCTTGTAGTTCTGCTATGGTTTGTGTCCAGACCAATTTATAACATAAACAGGGATATATCAATGCTATTCAAGTGTAAAAATACACCTTTCATCCCTGATAAACGACTCGCCATGATTCTTCTGCAGTAAAGACCGCCAAGTATAGTTCTTGCTCTTGCTCTTACTGGCCTAGTTCAGCCTGGCAAGCAATATATTTCCTCATTCTAAGGTGATATATGGTGCACTGGACATGCACTGCACTGCACTTGACCTGCACTGAAGTGCACTTTAGCGGCACTGAACCTTGATGGCCGTGGCCTGCCGATAGGAGATATTACCATATTTGTTCTCAAATACCATTAACTCGGGCTCATTGGTGTTTCAAGGGATCCTCATGAGATTGGACACTGCCATAGGATGGTTTTTCTTTCCCATGATACCTGTCATGTACTATAGAGTGCAAAATGACTTGCAGTATCCGGTCACTCTAAGCGCCGCCGCCGGCCATACTATTGGGTCAAAGCTAGCTCTGAGTATCCCGTTCTTTTCCGAAATTTTTTGCAGAGAAATTGCCGCTATGGGCATTGGCACACCATTTAATATTGTCCAAACACATACTATAACTTGATATGAGCTGAATAGATCAATACAGACTTGACTCAAATTTCAGAGCTTACTTGCGTCCGTGATATGGCCCAGTCTGACCATAATAAATTCCTCAGCATCTGACTTGGTTCAGCCAAATATGCTTCTTGTCTGTATACAGTACTTAGCCTGGAGCTGCAGAATCCAAGATTTGACTCAGCACACACCGAGATCCACAAACCATGGGACACAAATGAGCTCTGAACGAGCTCTACGGTGTCCCGATCGCTCGGGCGAGGTGATCGATCAAGTATTGATCTCGGCATCCTTCCAGTGCCACCTACCTGAGGCTACAGTGCAAGTTCCGAGGTGCCAAAGTGCTCCAGCTACTTGGTCAGCTCTTTCAAGCGAGTATTTTACTCATAAATTGTATTTCAAGCTCGATAACATAGCCGAAATACGATTTTGATTCGAATTTTTCATATCAGAATGCTCTACGTATGTTTTGACGTCGGAAACAGCGAGCACTGTAGTAGTGTGGCGCTGCACTGGAGCACTTCAAGTGCCACTGCAAAATACTCATCCCCGTCCGAGTCGAGGGTTGACGTGTTGACGAGTGAGCGTCTATTCCATGGTCTGTCTGGCAAAACAGGTTGAAAAGACATAAATATAGCATTGTCGAGTAGAGGAAGGTAATTACAGCAACAAAGGCCAAGAAAATTTTGCAGCTGTGGCACAATCTGGGAAGGAAATGATCAATCAGAGCAGAATATGAGATACAGAGAATAAACCTTTGTAGATCAGCAAGAATTGTTTCAACTTTGCTCACGAAGCATGGTGTCACAGTCGACTTACTGGACTTGGCAACATCTAGGATGACCCATTCCATCAAGAAAATGTCTAGCTGAATGTTTCTACATGCCGATGCAGGCTTGATATTTTTTTGAGCTCTTTTTCGGGGAAGCGGCCTGAAGATACCCAGTATAATGTTGGAAACGATCCGGAGATGTGTCCTCGGCAATCGCCGTGCCGGTGGGAATTAGGTCACGTGTAATTCCCCATTGGTCTGATGGCCCTGGAGTAAAAATCGCTCTTGCCCAACAAACGAGCCCCATAAATGCGGACTCATAACAGCTGGTCTCAGGTTGGGTGGCTCCCACAGATCACGGATAGTCAAAGTAAGTCTGCCGCCGCCGGTAAACTGGACAACCTTTGGTTGTGATGAGTGTCTCTGATACCGAAAGTACTGTAACCAAGTACTGATAATAGTAAAAGAGGATAAATAAGCCAGCAACATTGGATGGAAGTAGTAGATTCAAGAGAATAAAGAAAAAGACCAAGATATAGAACATAAATAAATAAAAGAGATATATGCAAAAGAGTGACCAGATATCAAAGCCAAAAAAAAAGACTGTTAGGCTTGGAAAAATTGACCAAAGACTGTTTTTCTGTCTTCTCAAATGACTAGTTTTTAAGAGGCAGTACTACTGTGGCAATATCTGTACCAGAATCTGAAACATCATCTCTGTTGGGATCTGGCATCATAGAGGCAATTTGACTAGTTGTGGAATCAGGTAGAACATCACTATGACTTTCAGTAGGGACTTGTGACCTGCTGGCAAACTGAAGGGACTGAGAGAATGATGGACCAGTGACAGTCAATTCTAAGTTGGCTTTTTCCAAAGCCAGTAAGAGAATTATGAGGATAGGATAAATTGCCTGTGATAGCCATTTTAGAAAGAAGTCTGTGAGGAGATAAGAGGCACTTACAACAAGCTGGGGCAATATGCTTGAGATGAGCTTAAATGAAAGTGACTGATTGTTTGGGCTTTTGAGACTGAGAACTAGCATACTTAGGGCAGTGTTGCGGCTTAAGCCCTTATTAAGGGCTGACTTTTGGCCTAAGGCCTTAACCCTTAATTAAGGGCCTTAAACTTAATTCAATTAAGGGTAAGTTTAAGGGCTGAATATATTATTTTCCTTCAAGTTTCCTTGAGTCGCTCAAACATTTCTCAGCCTTTAGAGCACATCAAATGGATCTTTTCAATGTTCCATCAATAATTGCTGCCAGAACAACCGAGAATGATTATATGACAGTCATAGACACCGAGTCCGCGGGCGCATTGCGGGCCCGACGCCCGTATCCCGCCTTCACGTGGACCTTAAGCCTTAATAAAGCCTTAATGTAGCTCGCGGTCAGCTTTAAGGGTTAATCTGTAACCCTTAATAAGCCTTAATTTATTTAAGCCTTAAACCCTAAGCCGCAACACTGCCTCTGTCAAGTAAAAGATTGTCATCCTGAGAGGCTTGGCATGCCCCAAAAGGACTTGAAGCTTGACCCGCAACCATGTTACGTATAGTCGGGTGTCGGGGCGCCCTCTGGCCCGAATAGTAGTAGTCCCTTTCTCATTGGAAAAATTTGACGAACAACCCGTTTAACAGGCGAGCGGATGACTCCGGCTGGGCTGACGCTCTTGACGTTCAGAGATTTGGTTTTGTGCTTTCTTTTCCATTCTTTGTACAAGAGCGACGTGATCTCATCAATTTACGATGGCGACTGCCACGCGTGTGGAATGTAGCATTGAAACGCGGGGATGTTGACATTCCTGTAACTGAGAGTGTTCGACCAGTGTTTTCATGTCCGCTTGGCATTAAAGTCCTACGTGGTTTCAACAGGCATAACAAGCCCGAAAGACATCCTGTCGTGATATAAAAGGCCTCCATTCCTCGTTGGAATCCCTCATCGCCGATTCTCCACAATGAAGGTCTCTCGCCTTCACACCTCGTTACTCCTAGCTCTCAGTGTCTCCTTCGATGTCGTTGTTGGCAAGGCTGGCATTCTCATAAATGCTCCTGGTCTTGCCCCTTTGCCGTCGCTAAAACAGGCTACGACGGCAGCAACAACTGTCGGCCTCGCCCTGAGCAACATCCAGGGAGATATCCTCATTGGAATGAAGAAGAACAAGGAGCTCTTCTTCTTCTTCCAGATCAAGGATGTACCCACTTTCAGGTCACATCTTTCCGCTGATATCCATCCTCTGATCACGAACGTCCCTCAACTCTTGAGTAATGACACTCAGCCGGGAACCATGGTCAACATCGCCTTTTCCCAAGCTGGCCTCAACGCCCTCGGAGTCACCGATGCCCTCGGTGACTCGCTATTCAGTGCTGGTCAGGCTGCAGGTGCGACAGACCTGGGAGACGGGCCTTTACCGGGAACCGCAAATTGGGTACCGGCATTCAGTACTGCAGGAAAGATCCACGGTGTTTTAATTCTCGCATCCGACACTACGGATAACATCAACAGCCAGCTCGCCACCCTTCAGGGTAAATTGGGTGCTTCCATCACGGAGAGCTATCGTTTACTCGGCGAGGCCCGCCCAAACAGCCAGAATGGTCACGAACGTAAGCTTCAACGATATTGTTTACTGAACCCTGCTGATCATCACGACAGATTTCGGATTCAAGGACGGCATTTCTCAACCCGCAATTAACGGGTCAGTCCTGATCAGATTTGATCGTAGTGGTACTTATGACTCTCAAGATTCAATGGAGTGATCAGTGGAGCGCCCTTGTTCCCAGGGCCGCCTGGAATCGATCCTGGAAACATTCTTTTGGGTGAAGCTGGGGATGGTGCTTCTCGACCAGTGAGACCAGCTCTTAGATCGATGGAATGTGACTCACTCAGTTTCACCAGTCCTGGGCCAAAGATGGATCTTTCCTCGTCTTCCGTCAATTGAAACAATTGGTTCCCGAGTTCAACAGCTTTTTGAAGAAAAATGCACCCAGTGATATGACCCCAGAACTTTTGGGCGCCAGAATGGTCGGCAGATGGAAGAGTGTACGTATTTTCTTTCTCACATTCTGATATAAATCTTGAACATGTCGTTTCAGGGTGCTCCCATTGATCTTTCGCCCCTTGCCGACGATCCCGCCTTGGGAAATGACAACACTCGGAACAACAATTTCAACTTCA